CGTTGAGAGAGCTCAGTGCAGTTTCAAATGCTCAAAGACTCTGGGTCTGGGTAGTTGCCCCAATTACACCAGGAAGGAAGGCCCGGGTTCAAGGTGCCATTGGCTGAGAACTATGGATTCGCACCATGGACCCCAGGAGAGCGAGTTCCACATGCCTTTGGTAGCTGGGACACACAACAGACAAAGAAAGCAGGATTGTTGGTTTTTTGTACTTTTCAGCTTGCCGTTGATAATCATCAGGGGAGCTGTTAAGATACTGCTACACCCTTACTTTATAGATGACCAGAGTCAGGCTCACAGAAGGGAAATGTGGACCCTACTTAATTTCAAGTCCTGAGCTTGCACTGTAACAGTGCCTCTTACTTTTCTGACTAAAAATAAAGCTTTAAAGTGACTAAATATCCATTAAAGGAACTCAGTCAGTGGTTATGCATCCGGCTGCTAACAAGGTCAGCAGTTTGAAACTACCAGCCGCTCCATGGGAGAAAGATGAGGTTTTCTGCTCCTATAAAGATTTACAGCCTTGGAAACCCTATGCAGGGTCCCTGAGTCAGAACCAACTCCATGGCACTCTACCACCCACCACCAAGTATCCATTAATACTTATTATATGTCAGGCCCTGGCTTACATGATTTCATTTAATCATCAAAATAACCCTGAGACCCTTTCCCCCAATTTTCCAGATGAGGGCACTGAGGCTTAGACCAGTTAAGTCACTTATTTAAGGCCCCACAGTAAGAAGTGGTGCAGGTATTCCACTCTAGGTGTATCCACCAGAGCCACAGGCTGTTTTCATCTCAGCAATAAGGTAAAGACACCAGGCTCAAACATAGTTTCTTTCAATTCTCAGGGCCGGGTCAGGATCACCATGGGTGAGCTATACCCATGATCAACCACAGGGTGAGGCACTGCTGCCTCTCATTTAAGCAGGAAGGAAACTGACTGCCATTGAATGGAGACTTGAGATACAGACCACTACCAAGATTTTGAGCCCATTCCCAGGAAGGTTTGCATATCCCTAATGGTCTCAACTAGGAGCTCTGGTAGTGTACTGGTTACGACTTGGGCTGCGAACCACAAAGTCAGCAGTTCCAAACTATCAGTTGTTCTGCGGGAGAAAGATGAGGCTTTCTGCTCCCGTAAAGATTTACAACCTCGGAAACCCTGCACAGGGTCACTATGAGTAGGAACCGACTCCACAGCACAAAACAATAACAATAATGATCTTAGGGTCGCTATGTGTCAGAATCAAATCAACTCCAGACTCCACAGCACTTAACAACAACAATGGTCTCTGACGTTCCCTACAGTCCCTAGAAGCCAGAGATGGTTTGGCTAGAAAGGTGCTTTCATTTTACAAAGCAACAACCTCATTCATTCATCATGCATTCATTTGTTCAACAGATGTATCTTTTGTCTGCCCATGCTAGGACAAGACCCTGAGTTAGCCACTGGGCATGAAGCAGTGAACAAAATTACTTAGGCACAGACACTGGTCCAAGACCACATAACCTGAACAAGGATCCCAGAACTCCTGCCTCTGCGTTTTGCCTGCCAGGACTTCAGCCATGATGGCTTGTGTGTGCCTCTGTCACAGGGAGTCAAGTCCCATTCTAGTCAGGCTGGTGCCTCGAAGCAGCCTCCCAGCATCCACACCCTGAGAGGCCTAAGAGGTTCTCTGTAGAAACAACTCAGAACGTTGATTGGCCTCACTTTGTCCTGGTACAGTTTAAAAGAAACTCCCAGGTGGGCCTTAGACAATGAATGTTGCAAGCTGGCAAGATTTGGGGCAGGGAAATGTGCTCCAAGTGCTTTACAGGTACATCCTCATTTACTCTTAAGAGCAATTCGTGTGAGGTTTTACAGCCTTCTGCAGAGGGTTGAGAGGTAGTGATATGACTTGCCCAAGGTCACACAGTTGGGAAACGGCCCACTGGGGAAGCAATCGAGGCCTATGTGAATGCCAAATCTGATGGCGCCCACCCCCAGTGAAGTCCGCACCTCCGCTGGCGAGTGGCAGAGGCGACTGCACCAGCCGGGAAAACCACATCTCCCGTGGCTTCCTGAGAGAGCCCACGGAGAGAGGCAAAGGCGCCGGCTTGGCGCTCTCAAAGAGTGAGAGAGAGTGGAGCGAGTCAGGACCGGACCGCCACTCCTGCCCGCAGGTAGAAACGAATTAAAATAATATGCGCACTGGCAGTCTCAGGCGCCTGAAAGAGACAAGTAGCAGAGGACAGTGGCAGATCTTGAACTCAATGTGGGTTCCTCTCGCCCTCTCTCAAAAGGCTCCCAAACTTTTAAGGTCGTAAATAAAAAAATAAAAAAAATTTAATGTTGAAGCTAAATAAATAACAGTAGAGATCTTTTCAGATAGGAAATTGTAGTGGATTTCGGGTTCTTTCCCTGGTCAGAGAAGTCGAAGGTTCTTACCTGCAGGAAACCTAGCAGCCTGCAAAGGCGCGTTCGTCTGGAGCGCTATGCTTAGCTTCAGAGCGGGACGCTCACGGGGCCTCCTCTTCTCTAACCCAGCTGAGCTCTGGTCCTGTGTTTTATACCACTATAGGCAATTAATATTGCATCAGCCGTATTTTAAATTTTCAAAACCCACAATATAATGTAATGGCATAAGGGCATTTATTATTAAAGGACACCCGATGGAAAGGGAGGTGGAGGAATCGCTAGGGCTTTTTCGCCAGGCGGGGGCGAGGGGCTGAAGACCGGAGGCTGGAGGGGAGCCCTGGGTTTGTTTTTGCGGTAGAGGGGCACAAGGCACAGAGGGGAGACCAGTCCTGCTCGGATATTCGGGTCCGAGGTCTAATGACCCAGAGCTCTTTGAAGACGCAGACGCAGAGGAAATGTGCAGATGACTCCAGGACGTGGAACATTAATTTTTAAATCGTATTAGGTGTTTCTGTGGCTCACAAATAAAAAGGTTTTCTCCACCCTTTCAGAGGGAGTGAGAGAGAAGAGAACTAGGGTTCATTGAACACCTATGTGCAGGTCGCTGCGCCAGGAACTCTGCAGACAATTCGTCATTTAGTCAGCCACCACTACCACTAAAAAGTCAACATCGAGTGGCCACTCCAGACGGATTTCTAAAGAGTCCCCGAAGGGGCCCGCAGCGAACTCTTCCAGATAACCATTTTCTCTTTATCTTTATATCCTCACCATCCCTCCAGCTTTTTGAATCGTTTAAAATAATAAATTGTTTGTTTTCTTTTAAGCTTCAAGCACGGTGCCAGACGCCTTAAAAAAAATTATCTTAACTTGTTGTTGTTAATGCCGCCAGTCGGTTCCGACTCATAGTATAGGGTTTCCAAGGTTTCTGTGGGTTTGATCCTCTAACCTTGTGGTTAGCAGTCCAGTGGATATTCTGCAGAGCCACTTCATTAACAGTCCTCACCATAACCCTGAGAGGTCAGCATTGGCATTCTACAGACAAGTAATCAAGGCTCTGAGAGGTTAAAAAAAAAAAAAAAAAAAAAACTTACCTCCGAGCCTTTCAGCCGGTGAATTTTGAAATTTGTGATCTGAGCCAAATTGAGGGAACCAAGGCTGGTAGATTCGCCACGTGAAAACGTGGAGGGAATTACCTTGAAACTCAAAGGTACAAAGAGGAGCAGATGGGATGAAATCTGGATGAAATGCATTTCATCTGGATGAAATGCAGATGGGAGGGTGAGGTTGCTCAGGCAAGCGATGGCCGACCCGGAAAGAGAAAGCCCGGAGTTTCTGGGTTCTCACTTTAAAATATTTTCATAGACTAGTACCCCTTAAGCCTCCGAGAAAGAAAACTACCGCAATTCGGGTTGAAAAATAAAGCATTTATTTTATAAGTCAATTCAAGGGGTAAAGAAAGAGAAAAACTTAACATTTTATTTGTATCTATTCAGTTAACGAAACCAAAGGTCACACAGCAACACACAAACTACATGAAACAACCAAAGGATAAAATGTGATAGGGCAAGAGGGGACCAGCTGGAAGGGTTTGGGCCGAATGTCTCCTCATCCCACCCAAAACTATTAGTCAACCTCTACCGAGAAACACCACATAAGGGGTATGTAAAGCAAAGTTAAATAAATAGTAATCAATGGTGCTAACAAGAGTAAATAATAAAAGTGTAACGAGATTCGAGGTGTTAGAAGAATTTGCATATGATTCGATGAAGTTACAGACACTTTCGAAAAACCGCCTACACTGCTCTGGAAGCCTGGCTAAAGTATCTAGCTGGGGTTGGAGACTCTTCAGCGGGTCCGGAACACCTCCAGTCCCTGTTCTCCATCAAACGGTAATTACCCCTCAAACTTCAGAGGACAGTGGAGGAGGGTCAGCGCAGTTACCCACTACTGTCTGCAAACCGCCAGTGACCTCAGTGTTTCCAGTCGCTGGGCTGGGCCCATCTTTTCCGAAGCCCAACTTAACGTGGAGAACCTCTCTGGAGCCGGCAACTCCCTGCACCTTTTTCCCTGAATCTAATCCATGCTACTTTGAGAATTTACGACAAACCAAAGGATAGAGGAACAGGATTTAGGCGGAGAAGTGGGAGCATAAGGCGATCCTTTGGAAGCATACATGTATTTCATATACTCTAAATAAACTGTGCCCCAGCTAGATATCCTACACTTTGTGTTAATTATAACTTTCTTCCCATCCATCCATCCCTTGCCTAATTGCGTTCAGCAAAGCAGCGCCTTCACCCCGGAGCCTGGCAGGCAGTCCATCCAATTGACTAACCCAGCCCTTGGGTTCTTAACCCTGAGGCCTCTAGGCAAGAGGGCTAGGACAAATTTCAGCACCACGAACAGCGCAGGTCCCTTCAGGCTGACTTTTGAGAATTTTTCCCATTGACAAACTTTTTTGGTGGGAATATAAAGGAAGAGAAAGAGAAGCCCGGAAGCAAAGAGGCGGGATAAAGGGAAAAGTCTGTAGCTTCCGAGGAGAGAGTGTGACCTGCCGGGGGAAACATCCCATACCGTCCAGCATCCCCCTCCGCGAGGAGGGGGGGACGCCCTTGGCTCTCCCAGCCCCTAATGACTCTCCCCGCTTGCAGTCAGTGGACAGCTGAGTATTTCATTCGTTTCTGTTTCTGTCTCTGGTTGCAGAACCAGACCCTCACCACATTCTTTTTAAGGTCCAGTTTCTCAGCTATGGCTGCGATCTTCTCAGATGACGGCCGCGGCTGGATGGCGAAGTAGGCCTCAAGTGAACGCTTCTCCGGCGCCGCGATAGACGTGCGTTTGCGCTTCCGCTCACTGCCATTGAAGAGCTCTGGCTTGCTGTTCTTCTCGCGGTAGGCGGCCTCAGCCTCCTCCAACCAGGCCTGGAGCACCGGCTTGAGCGCAATCATGTTGTTGTGCGAGAGAGTGAGAGACTCGAACCTGCAGATGGTGCTCTGGCTGAGTGAGCCCACGCCGGGGATCTTAAGGTTGGCCAGAGCAGCACCCACGTCCGCTTGGGTCACCCCTAGCTTGATGCGCCGCTGCTTGAAGCGCTCGGCGAAGGCCTCCAGCTCGCGGGGATCTGACTCCACATCACTGAGGCATGCGGGCATGGCGCTGTGCGGCGCCACGGCGTGAGGGTGACTCATGCCCATGGCCTGGTGCAGGTGACCCATGGCGCCCAGGTGGTGCGGATGGATCTGCGCGGGCATCACAGAGTGATCCGGTGCTCCCAGACCGCTAACGCTTAGTGTGGGTGAGATGTGCTCCAGCAAGTCGCCTTCCAGCCCCTGGTGCACGGCGTGGTGCGGGTGCGAGGTGAGCGCGGCGGGATGGGAGATGGGCACGGTGGAAGAAGTGGACGTGCAGGGCACGCTGCTCATGGTATGGTAGGTGGCGTCGGGCTTGAACGGATGATTCTTGCCGTGGGAGACGATATCCACCGCCGCCAGAGCTTCGGCGCGTGCCAACAGGCTCTCATCAAAGCTTCCAAATATATTACCCTGCAGCTGCAAGCAAGAAGGCGCACAGCACGGTCAGTAGGGAATACTGTCAACTCAGGATTAAAACACATTTTCAAGCAACTGAGATGCCTTTCCTCAAAGCCCAGGTCATAAAAATTAATACAGAGGCAGCGGCTCTGTTGGAACAGACGTGAGGATCAGAGACATGAATGAGAGAGAGAGAGCGCACGGGGAGAGAGCGCGGGGGAGAGAAAGAGAGGGGTTCAGAAAGCGGCGATTGTTCTGGGCAACATGAAAAATACATGAAGCGAGTGCCTGTCAAAAAATGTGCCTTAGAGCGGTAATTATGCTCCACTACGTACCTGCGGGGCTGGGAGACAGACTCGGCGCATGGCCTCGGAGCCGGAGTGCAGGCTGGAGAATTTGGGCTCTTGGAGCACCGGGTGCATGCCGAAAGGCTGCTTGGCGTTCATGGCCATCATCTTCGCGGGCCTGGCAGGGAGGCAGCGGGGGACATGGATCAGGCTAGTCTCGCTCGCTCGCCGCGCTTCAAGTGAGCGCCGCTCAGCGACCGTGCTCCCCTCGCCCTCTCGCTCGACTGCCTCCCCTCTCCCCCACCTGCTTCTTCACTCATCTTACAAGTAGCTTGCCAGGAAGGGCCCGGGCACGCGCAGGCGTGCTCACGCGTCCCGGACTCACAGGGGCGACCCAGGAGGCGAGGCAAGGCGAAGCAGCAGCTAGCAGCACGCCTCTCTGCGCCCGCCGCAGCCACCCCGCCACTGCATTTATACCCCGGTGGGGCCTGGTCTCTCCCTGCCCGCCCCGCCCCGCCTGGCTCCAGCCCGCTAGACCTTCCGGATTCTTTCTTCTTCTTGTGGACTTATCCCCCACCTCACCCGCAAAGTCCCAAACCACTACGTCCTGTCCGAACTCTCTTTACCTGATCGAAAGGCAGCTCTCCTCCCTCCCCTCTCCCCACCCCCACCCCACCCCCGGGAGAACGGGGATGAGGGTGAGAAAGCTGACCCTACTCCAAGCCCCACATCACTCTCACACACACACACACACACACACTCCCTGTCGGCCCGGCTGCCGCCAAACTGCCCATTTCCAGGGCGCTCCTGGCCTTCAGCCGGAGCCGTCCACCAGAGCCCGGCCCCGAGGCCCAGCAAGGAGGCGCCTCCAAGCTCCCAGACCGACCCTGGGGAGGGCAAGAAGCTGCCAAAAAGCGCCCCAGGTGACATCCCCACCCAGCCGCCTGCACTGGTGGAGGTGGGATCAGTAACTGTCCAGGAGGCCAGTAGCTTTCACCATATGTTGGCCTTTCTTGCCTTCGCTTGAGAAAGACAGCTTGACTCTTTCCCCCTTTCCCTCCTTCATCAATCTGAGGAAGCTTAGTCTTTCTTTATATTAGTGATAGCACAAGACGGGCCCGCTGTGCCTCGAGAGTCAGTCAGTGCACTTCTCCCGGACCTCCAACATTTACAAGCCCCATTCCCTCTAATAAGAGCTGCCATTGTTGCTAGGCAGTTTAGAGAATTAGATCATGGGATCCTCATATCAATCCTGTGGTGTAGGTACTATCATCCAGTCTTACAGATGAAGAAAACCAGTGGAATTAACTAATGTGCCCCAAACCACATAGCTAGCTAGTTAGGAGCAAAGCCATTCATTCACTCATTCATTCCATAAGCATTTACTGATAGCCTACTGTATGCCGAGCCCCACGGCTGACTTCGTGGGTTCTAAAACACGTGACCACTTTCTTCCGGAAGTTTTGGGACTTGAGCACTGGTCGAGGGTGGGTGAGGGTAGCGGTGCAGTATTGTTCCACCCTCACCTGCCTTCCTCCTCCTCTGCTCTTTTCCCCTTTCCCTCCTTGCCTCTCTCTCTTCTTCTCTCCCCCACCCCCTTGATAGTAAACTTCGTGAATAATGGATGGGGAATCCTGGGACCGCCCCTAAGCTCCCAGCTGAGTCCACTGCACTGAGGCTGCCTATTGGGAGTAGCCTTCAGGTTTCAGAGACATCACCCTGTGCTCAAGGTCACAAGTGCCTAGGGAGCTGGCTGAGTTTTCCAGGATCCTAATGCGAAGGGGGCTATAAGACAGAGGGGACTACCCCCTTGACCTTCTAAGAGAAAGCCCTGGCCTCCCAACCCTAAGCGCCCGCGAATCCCCCTTTTCACTATTCGAGTCAACCTGCTCTTCAGAAGCCTGTATAGAAAAGGACCTAGAACAAGTGCAGGGAGGCCAAGCAAGGCGGTTTCCTTATGAGCCTAATAGAAGTACCCTTATGTGATTGAGGGCAAGTCACTAAACCACAGCTCTAAACTAGGAATTACATTATTATCTGCCTCTGGATTCTGCTGAAGATATTTGGAGCTAAGGTAGTAAGGAAAACCTTCAACATTCACCCTGGTGCTCAGTAAACCTCCTCCAATGGGACTCTGCCGCTTACTGGCAGAGACCATGCACTGGTCTCAATGTTTCTGTATTGCAGTTTGCTCCTCTGTAAAATGGAAATAATAATAATGTTTTCTCCACTCATGTTTGTGAGCTATCGGCTGAGCTAAGCACTTGGCACAAAGCCTAGCACACTGAAATAATGAAACAAATGTTAGTTCCTCTCTTCTTCCTCCCTCAACTTAAAGACAAAGCATCTGGAAGCAAGCACAGTTTAGCTTGGGTCATTTCCCTGGAGAAAGTTTTGTCTGCAAGTGTAAACTGTGATTCCCTGTTCTTCTTCATTCATTTAACACTTGCTTTGTGTCAGACTCCATTCCTGCCCTCAAGATGCTACGAGTCTAAAATCCACAGAGGAAATGACTAAACTCATGACAAGACACAGAGTAAGGGTGTTGTTCCTGGAATACACGCTAGAACTATAGACCTCAGGGGGATTGGGTTTCCAAACCATTAGGTCTGTTGTTGTTGTTAAGTGCCATCAAGTTGGTCACGACCCATAGCGACCCTGAACAGGGTTTCCAAGGCTATAAATCTTTACGGGAGCAGAAAGCCTCATCTTTCTCTGCAGAGCAGCTGATAGTTTAGAACTGCTGACCTTGCGGTTCACAGCCCGATTTGTTACCACTACGCTACCAGAGCTCCTTATTAAGCCTCAGTTAATTCACCATGAGATGGTTGGGCAGTATGAATGCTAAACACTTTCAACTCTAACAAAAGAATACCATTTAGGTTAATTTAAATGAAACACATTTTGAGCAAGTCTGAGACCTCTCTGGGGACCCCAAAAGCTAAATGTGAATTATGTTATTACCCATCAGCATTTAGAATCTCTCAGTCTTTTTTTTCTTTCTGCCCAATGATGGAAGCTTAGAGGGAAAGGTGTGAATACTTTATCCTCCATGAAGAAGACTTGCCTATCTCCATGATGCCCAGAGACCCACACTCCCTTCACAATACTCTGTTCATTTGTGAAACTAAACACCCCAGTAACTGGGATAGAAAGGTCAATTCACATCCATCTTCCTTTTTGTTCTGTCCCCTCAAGAGCTTGGGAGATGCTGGCCAGGGTCATATTCAGGAATGGATTAGAGACAGAGCAAAACCAACTGACCTTCTAACACCTCCAAAGTCAACCTACACCTCACCAGCCCCCTATTTCAGCATCCTTCAACATTAGGATGAAAATGAAAAATTACTCTTGCATCTGGCCTCATGTTTCCTAGGTTTTTCCCATCCTTCCTTTGAAGAGGTTCTGCAAGAAGACACCATTCCTGAAGAGAAAACCCTGGAGCTATTAGACTGGAAAAGAACCATATAGAAAGCAAGTGGAAACTGAACCTTAGAAGAAGACAGCTGATAAAATTCTCTACACTTTTAAAGGTCTGCAAACTTAAATTCTGTCAGAAAAAAGTCTGGCACAATGAAGTATTAACTACAGTCAGGACTCTGGTAAACTGAAGAGGACATTTCCTACCAAGTGATATTAAATTACAATGAACACACACATATATGTGACCTAAACAAAACCTGTCTGAAGGTCCAAGTAAGGACCACATGGATATTTGTGCACGTAATACTAAAGAGAGCATTTTCTTTATTCTACAAACATTTTCAAATACCTGCTGATGGTTGAATCTTGTGGTAGGTATTATAGATATAGAGGACATCACTCCATAAGCTCAGAGTCTAAAAGGGACAGGAAAACCTTGCCACATGTAACTAACAAGTCAATTCAAAGCACTATGTTCTTCAGAAGGATTAGCACTGTAACAGTGCCAGGGGTAGGGCCAGAGATATTTTCTTGTGGGCCAGAGATTATCAACTTTAGTGTGAGTAGGAATCATCTGCTGCCTCTTAAAATTTTAACCTCTCAGGTCCACATGCAGAGATTTTGACTCACAAAAACTGTGTTTAAATAGACACCCATGATTTGGATGGTGATCCGAGATCTTCATCTTAAAAAAAACATGCTTTAAGCACAAGCTACCTGCTGTTGATGTTATTATTGTTTTAAATCCCTGCCTAAAGTATGCAGTTTTCACTAAGATTCAGAGTTTTCTTTCTCTGAGATCCCAAAATCTTTTGCATCTTCTTCTATTATCTCTTGCTAAGAACAAGACATTTTATGGGCTCTGCTCCAGGATCCAGGTGAGTCTTACTTGATTCTGTGTTTCCAGCAACTGTACCTCCATACTCCCTGTGTCTGTAGGTTTGGCACCATGTAGAAGCCTAATGCCATTTGTGTTGAATGCATGAATGATGTCCTCCCCAGGACTCTGCCATGAAATGCCAATAATGATGATGGTGACAACAAAAATCCTTTATTGAGCAGTCCATGTTTGCCAGGTTCTGATCCTAAGCACTCTAAAAGTATAGTAAGTACACTGAATCCCCACATCAAGCCTGTGAGGCTTTTATTATTATCTCCAGTCTACAGCAGAGAAAGCAGACAACAAGAGCTTGCCCAAAGTCTAGTGTGGGTTGGGACCCATGATCTAACTCCCAATTCCATGCTTTTAAAGCAACAACCTGGGAAGAGCACCCATGTTCCCTCACCCAAGCCCAGGAGCTGAGTAGCTGGAGTGAGCCAGGTTTTCTTGTCTCCCACAATCAGAGGAGGCCTCCCTTAGAGGGGTTTGTAGTCAGGCACACATCCACACTCAGCATCTGCACTTACACGAGGCCACATTTTGAAAGGCAGGCAGAGACTCGCACCCCCATCCTTGGCCAAACCCCACCATGAAGAGGAGGGGTGGAGGCTAGAAGGGAGGAATGGGAGATGGTCCTGATAGGGCGCCCGAACTCAAGATGCCATCATGGGGAGGCAGCTGGCGGGGCTGCCTGGCCAGGTGTTCACAGCCACCGACCTCATCTTCCTTTCCCTTTCTGTCCTCTCCTTTCACAAACTTCTCACATGTACCTGCCGCCTGCGCAGCTGCTGCCGGATTCGCCTATCGGCCGCTTGCCTCGCTTTGTGTGCGCTGGCTCTGAAGATCTGAGATGCCCAGAGGGACTCAGGAGCTGAAGGCTGAGTCTCTGTAAATGAGCTGCACGTGCCAGGAGCCCTCCCCTTTCTCCCAGTTGTGACCAGAAACTG